TTTGAATGTGTTGTCCTCCCGCTTTGGGCTCAGACAAGTTTTTCACTCTATTTAGTCAATTATTAAGCATTCATTGTATTGAATGAACACCTACAAATTGTCAAGTGCTGTGCAGAGATGGTGCAAACATTTCCACCTCGGGGGGTCAAATGAGACACATGCTAAATTTTAGGACATTCTTAGAAAAGAAACATTTGGCCTCCTAAGAGTTTTCAAATATGATATAAACCAAACATCCCAACCTTTATTAATTTACAGTGATATGCATTGATTGTGCAATAATGTTAGGGGCAGAAATAGAATATTGGGGACTAGCTATTAGTTATCTATCTATCTATCTATCTATCTATAAAAGGCTAATATGCTAAGTGTCCCACCGTCAGACTGGTCGCTATGATGTGCACTGACCACCACGGGGGTAGACGCTCAACGCAGGAGCTGCTGAGCTGCAGTGACTTGGCAGCGACAGTTCTCAGGTGATGCACCTCAAAACCAGAGAGGAGGGAGCCAGATTCCTTGTGGGGCCCTGGGATTCCACCTTTGGCCGTGGGTTATGTTGTTGCTGGGGCACTGTCGGCCCGATTCTGGTTTACTGCACACTTGCGTTTGTGTTCCACACCCTGTATGACAGCAACTTTGCAGAGTGCCCTCTCATACTCCAGGACACCTCGGGGGATGTTGGAGAGCCTACAGGCCAGGCCCAGGGACCCCACCTGCTTGAGGGACCCCGCTTACTCACTCCGCAAACGCCTGGGAGGGGCCACAGGAGGTTGGCTCCAGGGCCTGTCCAGCCCATCTCTCACAGTCCTGCCCTGCTGGCCACCTTCTAACTAATTTCCTTTTAATGTGCACGAATCCGTGCACCGAGTCACTAGTAAGAAATAAAATAAGAAATATCAATCATGCTCTGATAACTGTGATTGCTTTGTTCTGATTGAAGAAAGCACATTCTAACCTGGCTGGGAGTTGTATGCCCCCGGGACCTGGGAGTCAACCTTGTCCCTGGGAATCAACCTTGGAATGCAGTCCACACCCATTTAAGAGCTGCCTATTATCACAGAAAGATTTACAACCTTGTTGCCAAACAATGGAGTCCTGCCCCAGCTTCTCCCAGCCCACCTTGCCTACTTCCACATGTAATCTTTGTCCTACCCCATATAAACAGCTGGCTTATCTGGGGTGGGGGTGGGGGGGCTAGTGAGCAGATTTTTGTGGATGACCTGCTGCTCTCCCATACTGCCAGCAGTGTTGAAATAAATGCTCATATATGATTCAACCCTGTTTCTGCTTAATTGGTTCAAGTAGTGTCAAGCAGCCTGGACTTATTGGTTGTCTGGTTTCAATATTATTTGGCATTTTAATTGCAGCATAACTCAACCTTATCTTGGTGTTCCATACTCTAAACTACTTGGAAAGAAAGAAAAATGTGAGATAAAATGTGAGAGAGTGTTTATGCCTTCAAATATATTTTTAAAAAAAACAAAAAACACTGCAAAAGCATGCATTAGAAAGTCCAGGTCTTGTCCAAAGGACAAGGTTTAAGTGAAAAACATAGATACATGTAAATTAGCAAAAAAGTTGAAGCAGTTTCTTTTATTGTAATGTCTTTTGGCTGATAGAATTGAGTGTGGTTATTACCACTGTCCAGATAGAGGAAGTGATGCAATAAAGGCTGCAAGAGCTCTTGAAGTCTTGTTAGTATTTGCTTTCCAAATAGAAATTTAAGAAATGATTTTACAAAGCAAAGTTTGACAAATGTTATTAAATAATCATGCTGAACAGTTATATTTATAGCTCATTTCCCTCCTGTTGTTTCTCAAAAATTTTTTTTTCTTTGCCCTAGAATTACAATTTATGTATAAAATTTACACAGGGTATGTTTTTTCCTACTGTCATTTGCTTCTCTAAATTGAATTCTTCTGATGTATTTTTAAAAAGTCCCCATCTATTTTCAACTTCAAGGTGGAAGAGGAAGATATGGTAAGTCTGATGTATCCTTAGTGTGGAGTTCAGAACTTTTCACTCGAAAACATTCTAAAAAACAATTTTGAAGCCATTTTCCTTTGTATGAGGAAAGTTCAACATATATTTTCATTATACTGGAGTAGGGTGTTGCTTACATTTGGAAATAGAACTGCTTTAGAAAGTATCTATAATTATCAATTTATATCAACATGCTTTTCTTCTCTAAATTTTTGTGTACCAAAAAAATTCAGAACATGAAATTATATGAAATAAGCCTTAATTATTGTACAAAAACGTATACATTAATTTTTTGATTCCATAATGAAATAGTTAAAAGGGTGTCTTGTTACTACAAACTACAAAAAAAAAAGATAATCTAGTAATAGATCTAACTTAGCCACCTGTGAAGAAAAAAAATACCATCCAAGATAGCAAATTCAATATTTCAAAAGTAAACCTAAGACACAGAAAATGGTCTGTTGTTGAAATAGGGCATAAAAAACAAACAAACAACAAAAAATAAAGAAATAGGGTATATCATCATTACCCTGAACCATTTTCTGCACAGATCATAAGGTAAGACAAAGTGTTTTAACTAAATGTAATTTGGAAAAAGCTTGACCTTTCTAGAATAAACACATTGATTCACACTATAATTCACTTTGTACTTTATAAACTTTATTAAATAATGAGCATTACTAACTTTTATTAACTTATATACAATATTTAAACTATGTTTTCCTAGATACATTTTTTTTGCACAAATAATAGAGTAGGGGAAAAGTGAACTGATAAAAAATTGAACCTTCAGTACAGAGACCTAATAAAAACGTGACATACTTTGAAGTACGTATACCTCTTTTTCCTCAATTATATACATCCTCACCCCACCTCCAAAAGAAACTATTTTAAACAAAAGCACTTAATTGACAACTGAGGAAAAATATGAACATGATTTTTATATATACATATACACACACAGCTCTCAAAATCTGCATCCTGGCCGACAGAAGTGATCTATAAAACTAGAGACACGCCCTAGAACCTAAAGATCCCCACAGAGGCATGTTAGACAGTAGGACATGTTCATCGTGCAGTGGGGTGTGTTCCTCTAGGTGACATCAAAGCTGTCAACAAGACACTGGTGTTAAAAATTAATCATTTCCGAGAGTAAGACACCCCAGTAACACGGACACGACAGAATCGGGGTCATAGGCATGAAAAGGCAAACATGCGAGGCTGCATTCTTGGGACCAGAAGAGTCAGGTAACTTTGTTTTGCTCTTACAAATACTCTAGCAGGTCTAAGAACCTGCCTTCTTACAGTCCTTTCTTTTCTGATACTGCTAATCTTGAAAACTTGTATCACCTTTAAAGAAAGGAATGGAAAGAAGAAATGTTTCCAGAACCATGCCATTTAGTATGGACTTTGTGTTATAAGCTATCAGCAGCAAGAACGGTATAGAGAAGCAAAAAACTTGGGTTACCTTTTGTTATTTAAAAAGAAAAATGAATGCCTTAGGTACCTGTTTATACAATGATGGTCACATTTTATGTTTTCCAGTTCAGAAAAAGAGGCATAGGACTTAAAAGGGGGAAAAGAATTAGGATAAGATGTCACTGATTCAAATCAATATCATTGTTCACCTTCAAATGAAAAGCCAGCAGCCCGTGCCCTACACATATTGTCTTTTATTAAAATGAAAACGGAGAGGGTGGGGGAGGGACCACGGAATGTAAAACTGCTTAAAAGGAGAATGCAGAGGCCACTGCTGAGAAACATTGTTGTGCACTGACTGGAGCCTTCGGTAAGATAGACTATTTTTATAAAGGAGCAGCAAACCTGCTTCATTTTTCTGTTTAGCTTCCTTGAATTTTGCCTCTCCTCACAAGATTTGCTTTTGTTTTTAGTTTACTTCCATAAAGAGTTATAGCAATACAACATATCACAATAAAATGCTATTTAAAGACCATAATTACAACATAAAAGATGTTATTAGAACTTATCAACCAAAGATTCCATTCTTTTATATGCCTCACACAATGTTTGCTTTCGGAAACAAATTTCACTGCAGCCAAGGAAATCCTGCAGGCCGGGTCAGGGTACTTGGCTGAGTACAAAACTCAGGAAAGTTCATGTGAAAAACTGCTCTGGAAAGGGTAACTTTAAAGTGCTTCGTTTTATTTTAGCTTGTGTTTTACTCTGTGTTGATAAGAGGCGCAAAAAATGGTAAGAACAGCTCTATTCCTCCCAGCCCTTCAACTAAAATATGAGCAGATAATCAAGCTCTTCCCAGATGTCAACCCATCTTTCCTAATAGTTAAGTCAATTTGTATTTTTCTTGGGGTTTCTTTAAGCCATTGAGGAAATCACCTGTTTCACCCCCGGAATCATAAAATAAATGTGAAGAGCAGCACATTCTCCAGGCCTTGTCCAGGAGCCCAGGTAAAGATTTTTGCTTATAGAACATTGGTCTCGTTACATGCTAATTTCCACCATTTCTGCATTACACCATTTCTGCATTACACCATTTCTGCATTACAATGAGCTGATGTAGACATGAATACCAGAACAGAAACCCTAAAATGGGCACCGAAGACTATACTCCAATGAGAGGTCTTTAGCTTATGTTATTCTAAGGTCTTGCCACAAGTAGAACAGAAATGCCAGCTATAATAAGCATAATCCTTTAAACAGCTTTAGCTTCCTTTCATTTGAAAAACATATGGAAAAGCCTCTTTGCTGCCTTTGAGTCCCAAGATAAAACTAGTCGTGGCTTTTGGATAACAAGAGGAGTGCTGCATGTTTTAAAATCGGGGCACTACTGTCAGAATATAGAGAAAAAATATGGCCATCTTGTTAAAAAAAGAAAACCATCTAGAAATTTTCAAGTAAGTTTGACTTACATGAAACATGAAGACAACCAGCATCAGAACACAGGTAAGATGCTGACACTGGCTACAGTACAATCCTGGCTGGATCGTCAGCCATTCAAAAAGTTGTTCTGTAAAAGAAAGTACAATTTACACCTCCGGTAATTACAAAACTGTTTTAATCTGGTACATAGAAAACACGCCTCAGGTTCTGTAATTCAGGAGCATATGAAGAAGTGAATTCGGGCAGCGGCTATTAAGAACCTTAGGCAAAGCTGCTAGAACTAAGACACTGGAATTTTTCCCTTAGACTCTGGACAATGTTTTGCTGATTGGGAGATGGGCCCCTCCAAAGATAGTCATTCAGTTTGTCAGAATCGTGGTATGGTGTCAGGTAGGGTGAAACCCCAAGTTTGCCGCTCACTGGCTTTCTGGGAGTGCACGGGCTATGCAAAGAGTAAGATGTGTTGTTGCTGCCGACGTTATCAGAAAAGTCTGCGTCCACTATCTTTGGGTCAGATTTCTTTCTACGATTGTGAGACAGCTCTAATTCTGCCTCATCTTCTTCTGACTTTATTTCCACATAGTCATCTTCGTCTCCTTCCGTCTCTTTGAAATTGGAAAAATAGTTCTGTGTAGCTATTTGGGCATTTAAGGGTAAATTTCTATTTACTACCAGAACTTTCTGTGAGTCTTGGAGAGTGAGATCTGAGCGTTTTCCAGTACCCTGTTGACACGAGCCACTTATACCTGGCGGCAAATCCTGGTGACTCTCACACTTTGAACTGTTGTGTAAAGACAACAGCTGTTTCCTTCCCACCTCATTAGGGTAGTTGATGGAGTCCGCTGACTTGTTTATTAAGATGGAGGAAGATGACTGGGACCTGTTATAAGGCTGAGATTTAGCGCTGAATCCTTTCCGACCCAAAGAGTTATAAAGATGGCCTTGACATGAGTTCTCCTTGTTGGGCTGACTGACTACCACACTGTGTCTCTGTATGGAGCCCAGCAGATGGTCGGAGGTTTGCAGAGAAGGCACAGAGCAAGCTGTGGACAAATGTCTTGGAATATTTTTTGTGTGGATCTCCAAAGTAGGATATTTTGGCTTCAAGTCTTGCCCTGGCCGGTGACAGAAATCTGCTAATTCTCCGTTACTATAGGTTGAATGCAAAAGCCAATCTTCGCTACCACGTTGGGCCTGGGAAGGGGATGTAGATCTGAGGGTGGAGGATTCTTGAGGGCGGGCCCAGCCATCCTTCTGAGTCTTAAAGGGAGTCTCTCTGAACACAATCTGGTCATACACTTGTGAATACTCAGCAATCCTGGCACCTGCAAGGCAAATATTGAAACAAAAATATACACAGGGTTATTTCTACATGAGAAGATTAAAGAAATAACATAAACTTCTCACCTATTTTAAGAATTTAAACAGTAGACAGTACTTTTAAGTTTGAAGGTGACTAGCCATTGAATACTAAGTAACACAAACTAATAAAATAACCCATAGTCTAATAAAAAGTAAAGATGCCACCTAAAAATTCATTTAATGTGATCTAATTCTAGGTTCTGTTATTTCAACACTAGGTCTTCAAGTGTTTGCTATTTGTAATGAATATTTCCAGTGTTCTTTTACAAGCATGAAATAGTGTCAGGGCTAAAGACAGACATCATAAAAATCAGAAAGTTAACCCTGGTTCATGAAAAATAACTCAAGTAGTCATTACAAGAAGCATGACTGCAATCCATCATGCAATGGCTACCCCAGCTTCTCACCAGTCTCGATTGCTCTCAGACAACTACTCCCAGAAGAGTCTGCTGTCTGCGGCTGCTCCCACACTTCTTGTGTCTAGGCAGCCCTCCACAGCCACTGTCTGGGGAGTTAACGTCTACAGGAGGTCCTCCCTCCCAATGCGTCAGAACTGCATGTGTTGATGGACCCGTATATCCTTGCCCAACCCCAAGAAGCTGGGTACTCAAGTCTGTGCTTGCACGATATAAAGAATAAGCCATCTGTGCATATAATTGATACACTAATGCCTCTAATATTGGTTCCAGAACAGGATTTGACCATTACTCTATGGAAGCTATTGCCACTTGAAATTAAGCTATGAGGCCGTTCTCTCTGCTCCACTTCTGAGCACAGACTTTTCTAAAGACATTTACAGAACCCTGCCATGGATAGAGCATTCTCTTGGGCCGGGAATGACTTAAGAGAGAGAACCCAGAGATGTCAACTTCAAGAGCAATTTTCCCCCTTGACCCCCAACAAGGTATCCACATGACTACCCTAGAATCAAAGAATTCCATACACCCTATAAATCACTCACACCACATCTCCAGTCTCTACGAAGGGAATCTATCTATCCCATAGAAGATAACCAGCAAGTGACAATACATTTTCTTCTTCTTTAAACTATAAGTTCGGTAACCTGTTGTTAATAAATTATTCCTTCAATTTAAACTAAAATTTTATTTTATTTTATATTTTTTAAAAATATATTTTATTGATTTTTTACAGAGAGGAAGGGAGAGGGATAGAGAGTTAGAAACATCGATCAGCTGCCTCCTGCACACTCCCTACTGGGTATGTGTCCGCAACCAAGGTACATGCCCTTGACCGGAATCGAACCTGGGACCCTTGAGTCCGCAGGCCGACGCTCCATTCATTGAGCCAAACCGGTTAGGGCTAAACTAAAATTTTAGTTCATTTTCTGCCATTTCTTTTGGGTCTACCTTCTATGAGAATAGAAATCAACCTACAGTCTGTGTGCCCTTTAATTGCAAACCCCTCAAGTTACTTGCTCCCTGGTCCCCAGAATCAGGGCAAATAGTCTGTTTAATTTCTCATTACAGATGCTATATCCAGATCCTTCAGGTTTTCAAATCCAAATTCCTCAGAAGGACCGAGATTATTCCTTTAGAATTTCTAGTAATAAATACTTGAGCTATTACTCCTTAAAGGGCATAGCAAAGACTTTCAAGATCAATTAAGATTTGGCAACCCCTTAGGAGATTGAAAGTCTACATGGACACCACCATGTTAGCTATCCTGAACTCTATAATGTTTCGTTAACTAGGAACCCCAAGCAAAGACAAGGATCTTTAGACATAGACATTGGTTAGTAGTCCCATCTGAAAGTTGGATGTTTCTGCCCAAGCTATTATCACCTACACTACGGCCCTGAGTCTGATCCCACCACTGAAGTCAGAAAGGCTCTGAGCTTTCACAAGGTTCCAAGAAGATAACAACTTTGGGGAAAGCAGTGAGAGCTAGGTTACACATTCAGTCACACTATTCTAGTATCCAAGTGTAACCCTAAAGTCTTATAAGAACAATTAACTCTTGACTTTAGAACATGGTGGCCCAGAACATCTGAAACCATGCGTCATCCAAAATATCCATAGTATTTCTTGTGCCTTTTCCTTCCTTATCACACTCTTCTTTTGCTTAATCAAGTCCTGTTTACCTCTCAAAACCCTCCACAAGCCCTAACCCTTCCGTGAATCTTTGTCTAACTGATTTCTCTTCTGTGAAGTCTTACACACTTAGTGTGCCCTGTTTGTACTCAGTGTGCAACCAACACGTGGCTATTGGCAGTGCACACATGCATGTACATGGCTGCATGCACACACACACTCTTGGGTTCCTACTTGTTTTATATGGGTTGGTTTATTATTCCAGCTTGTCCGTGAGCTTTAACCTTGGAGAATAATCCCTACAGAGTACCAAGCACAGTTCGAGATAGAAACTGGTCTCAAGAACTACTTAATTACTCAGATAATTTCTGGACTGCCCCCTTTTATTCGAAGCACGGTGTTGAGAATGGATGTGCTTTCCCGAAGACCATGCCACTGAGAGTGGAAAGGCAGCCTAGAAATCAGGCACAGCAGGAAAAGGGGGAACAGGAAGATGGCCTTTGATTGACATACCCCTATAGGTAACTCGTAATGCATACAGTCTATCTTTGGATAATAAAGAAGTTGGTCATTTATAAATTTGGAATCAAAAGCATCTCACAAGTAAACAATATGCTGTGTCTATGTTTTGGGTTTTTTTGGGGGGTCTCAGGTTGACCTTCTAAGTGAGTCTATAATTTGCTTGATGCCAATGTGAACAAGCTTCCAGAGCCATGGCTCTCATTAGATTCCCTCAGCCAGATGTGTGGGAAGTAGCCAGCCCAGATCACACTGCAGCCTACAAGGCTGAGCATGAGGCAGCTGGACCCAAGTCCCCTGCGTCCTTGGTTCTGGCATTAGCAGTCTTTATAGAACATGCACATCATCATTATGTGACAACCCCAAGGCAGTCTCTGGTTTACTTCTTTTTTGTTCAAGTTTAAAAGGTGGAGTTCTTATAAATATTTGAAGGGATGCTTGCTGAGAGAAGCATGAAATATACTGTTTTCAAGACAGAGGATTAAAATCAGTGTTTCCGATGTTGCTTGAGATGCAGACCACAGCATAAAATGTCATTTTGCCTTCCCCACTTTGCACAAGGAGGAAAAGTCCTCACGCCTGTATGGAGTTTTCTCCCACGTAAAACATCACACACAAAGAAAGAGAACCCCAAGGCCTCATTGGTCTCAAGGACTATCAGGAGGGACGCCTGACCGAAACAGACGGCCAACAAGCTACATCAGGCTCTAAAAGGTAGGAGCAACTAGACCTGGTTGGGTGATTTCTAGGCGGAAATCTGACCCGGGGCCTGTAGACCCCGGCTAGAGAGTTCAAAAAAGGTGCTCGAGAGTGTCGGCAGGTGAATAGGGTGCTCCTCCTTCCGGACAACACCGAGAGCAAGCTCCTGGCAAAGTGGCAAGGCCCACACGAAGAAGTCTGGAGAATCGGTCCATTCGATGACCACGTCCTGTGCCCAGATAAACGAGAGAGAGAAAAGGAGTCATCACGTCAACTGATTGAAAGCCTAGTGGGCACAGGAGTGGTCTCGATCCACCCAGATGGAAGATCCTCAGGTCCGAGAGCTGGCAGGCCCCAGGGACGACTCCACTCTCAGAAGATGCTTGGGAGAGAGCGTCTCCTCTTTGCTGGGGAGAACGTGATAGTAGCCCACCATGTCGAGAGCAGACCCAGACATAAAGCTGAGAAAAGATCCTGTGGGCTCCCAAGACACACCAGTAGGCAAAAGCAAAAGGAGAGCAAACCAAAAGTGAGAAGCAAAAGAAAACCACAAAGGGAAATCTACGCGTACTTAAAAGAAGGGGAACAAAGAAGGCGATTCAAGGTAGCGCTGAGCCCTAGCCTCAGCATTGAAGGATGTGCTTCCATCAAAGTTAGAGTTCTGCATTGTAATGGATGGTCTATGTTCAACACAACCTGGCTTGGGGAAGTACCACTTCTTAAAGGACAGTCTGCTGGCATAAGCCGTCATCACCAGAAACTTTAGTAATATATTATCTTTCATTCTGAGGGTCCCTGGCCCAGATTCAGTCGGTGGCTGCACTGCCAATTCCATACTGTTCCCAGTGCCATCTATGCCCCCAAATAGCCCATCTGCAGCTGGAACTCAGGCACATTTTCTATGTATAACAACAGACCAGAGTAGCAATCTAGCATTGCCAAGGGGACACGGATTAATTCAACCATATTACTGCAAAGAGAAAAAATATGAGATCTAGTTTCTCTCACATTTTAACCTTTATTTAAAAAGAAAATATCTCAAAGAGAGTCTGTAAAATTCTTTGAGTAACAATTCCAGGGCTTAACTTCCCTGTCTGTTAAGAAATTTTACTGTATGATTAGCTTTAGGGAAAGAGTAGAGCTTTAGACAATTCTTAAATATTCTCAAACTTAAAAAATAAATCCATATAGATTCTTGTCATGTAACGTGTAGATTCATTTAGGACTTGGACATCCCCTTCTTATCCTCTGGTTTCCATGGAGATAATGTAACCAATCCCAAAGAAAAGAGGAGAGTGAGTGGCATAATCCTGGCAGAGGAGTCTTGTTGCCATTAAGCTAAGTATCTGAACGTCCCTGATGCTGAGCCATCTGGCATTTACTTTTAATTGGAGAACCATCTCCTCTCATTTGATACTGAGGTGGTCCTTTGTCAGAAAATCCAGGGCAGGGATTCTTAAAATATGATTGAAAGGCCACTCTGATTTAAAATGCTAATTCCCGCCCGGCTGGTGTGGCTCAGTTGGTTTGAGCTTTGTCCCGTGCCCCAGGAAGTCCAGTGGGTCCATTCCTGGTCAGGGCACATGCCTGGGTTGTGGGCTCAGTCCCCACTAGGGGGCGTGCAGGAGGCAGCCGATTGATGTTCCACTCTCACATTGATGTTTCTATCTCTCTCTCCCTTCCTCTCTCTGAAACCAATAAAAACACATTTAAAAAAAAAAACACGCTAATTCCTGAGCCTAACCCCAGAAATCTCTCTAGATCTGGTGGTGGAAAGGGCCTCGGGTGAGAGCCAGTGCCCTGGGCTGGGGGATGCCTTTTCATGATATTTGTGTGCTTTATTCCCACCTACACTCCACCACCACGACCAGCGTTAAGTTTTGTCCTCTCTAGCCAGGAGGTAGGCACTTCTCTGTAACAGAGAAAGAAGTCAAGCCCCGGACATCTTATTCCTTTAGCCCTAACCGTACCAATCTCATCCCTGAGATCCTGGTTTAGTTCTGCCCCACAAAGGAGGCTTGCCTAAAAGATGAAGCTTTGTGGAAGCATGTGTTAGAATACCAAACGAAACAGTACTGAGTGCATTACAGCAGCTATTTAAAAAAATCACCGAGTAACCGAAATATGCGAGAAGAAAACTGAGTCATAGTGTGAACAGCTTTAACAACGCAGAAAGGATTCCTTTTTGTCTGTTAGGACAAGTGGGCGGTTTTGTTGGGATTCTGGAGCAAAGAGCAATCCTATTCCTTACGCTTCCAAACCTTAAAAGCTCGCGTGAGCTACTCCTCCTGACACACTGATGTAAGGGGAGCAGCTCTCGATGCCACAGGTTAAACCAACCACTGTAATCCACGGTTCAGATCGTGCTAGAGAAAACTTCTTACAGCAGCACATCTGTAGTGACAATGTTCCACGCACAACAGAAAACCTCTGAGACCCAATCACGCTCCAGCTCGCATGAGTGGGCGACGCGGGAAAGGGTCTGTGTTGTTTTGGGTGAAGGGGAGCAGAGTTGGCCACCCCAAAATAGGCCTTTGGGGATATTGATTCTTTTAAGTTGGTTATTTTTAAGAAAAGAAACACTCAGAAAAAACCTTTGCTCTTCCCCCTAATTTCCTAAAAGGAATTTAGATGGAGGCCCTGCTTCAGGAAGGGAGCTGTCATTTCCTAAAAGGAATTTAGATGGAGGCCCTGCTTCAGGAAGGGAGCTGTCATTCTATAGTTTAACAAAAACTAGTGACAGACAGGGAGGAACCTAGCAAGGCCCCTGTGCTTAAAGTTCTCTGTGTCCCATTACTAAGGATGGTCCCCAAACATTTATTTACCAAACGTTGCTTTTCTCCACGAAATTGCCTTCCTGCCCTTTGAAATGCCAAACCACACCTCCCTTCTCTCTACCTCCAGAATGACATAGAAGCCTCAACTGCCCAATGGGTCCTTGAGTCTCATATTCTTAGGGCCCCCCTGCATGAACGTCTATAATACATTTTGGACATTTCCCCCTGTTATTTGGTTTCATGTCAATCTGATGATTAGCCCAGCCAGAACTTAGGAAGGTGGGAGGGAAATTGGCTTTGCACAGCCCACACGAGTAAGTCAGTCTCACTCGGAGAGGACGTACGCCTGAGTGGCAATGTTCTCACGGTCTTACGGACATTGGGAACCTGACGGCTGCTCTCACGTCTTACTGTCAAGGAGGGAGGAAGCAGAGAAGGAACGTACCGATGGCGGGCCCTCCTTGCTTCTTGTCTTCTAGGATGGCAGCCAGGTCCTTGTGCACAGATCTATGCGGTTGGCTGGCCGGTGGCTGCTCCACCTCTGGGCTTTTCACTTTTAAGAGCTGATTTGCCTTCTTGATCTTCTGACTGTACTGCCTCGCCATCATAAAAACCCGGCTCTTGGTCTTATCTGTGGCGTCCACCCCAGGGTCCGGGCTATCCAGGTCCACCTGGGACAGACTGCTGGTGGCCAAGTCATAGGGGTTTTCCAGGGGCGGCCCTTCGCTGGCCAGAGAGAGCCGGTTGAGACTGAGGAAGGAGCCTTCCTTAGACAGCAGGTCTTCCCCCAGCGGGCAGCTGGCCCGGCTGGCCCTGCCCGGCCTGTCCTGCAGTGTGAGGAGCGCGCGGCTCTCGGGGAGCGAGAGTGTGGACAGGGCCCGGGCCGCGTCCTGGCTCAGCTCGGGCGCGCTCTCCGAGTGCAGCCTGTCCGCCACGTCGTCTTTGCTGACGGGAAACGCGGCAAGGAGCCGGTCTCTGGCCTTGACCTCGTTTTTCTTGATGTAATTCTCCAGGTCATTCCAGATTTCGTCTACTTCTTCCGACAGCTTATCAGATATAGACTTCTCCGCTATGGACAAGTTACAGCCGAAGGAGTTATACAGCAAACTCAAGTAGTCGTTGTCCGAGGGGCCCGGCTGGTAGGGCGCCTCGTCCTCGCTGAGCTGGAGGCTGTCCTGGGACACGAAGGGCCTCAGGGTGTCGCAGCACGGGAAGTCGGCCTCCAGGCCCAGGAAGGTGCTCCTCTTTGGACGCGTGAGGCTGCTGCACCTGAAGTCCAGCGAGGGCGGGTCTGGGAGCCGGATGGTGTCGTAGATGTTCTCCTCCACCACCTCAAGTTCATGTACACTCTGGTTCGACGCCTCCCGACCTGGCCGAGGCCCCCCTCTCTTGGTGTGCAGAGGGCTCTTCTCGTGGCCAGCGTGCCCCTTGGAGAAGGCTAGCTCCGGGGTGCTCTTGGGCCGAACAGAGTCCCTGGCTGATCTGGGGGGAGTGGACTCAGCTTCTTCCCGTTGAGCGACCATGAGTTTTAAGTCCTCATAACTTATGTTATCATAGACGTGGTCTATGTCATCCAGAGTCAACTCTATAGATGAGCCGAAGGGGGTCATTCCGTCCTGCCCTTCCGTTTTAGGGTCATTCTGCAGTTCCCTCTGGGGACTGTACCGAGAGCCGTCGCTGTCCCTGGTTCTTACTTCCGGAGGGCACGTGTTGCTCTCGCCAGCGCTGCTGGCCCGCCGGACCACCCTGTGGCCGGAGCTGGCGGCCTCGGTGGCCTCCATCTGTCCCAGGTGCCAACTGCAAGGGCGACTGGAGGTGCTGTCTTCGCACAGCCGGCTGGAGTTCAGGTCTGAGGAGGAAAAGGATGGCACGAACATCTGGTAATCGTCGTCCTCCTCCTCGTTCTCCTGGGCCCGGCGGCTGGGGGAACAAGGCCTGCCTGATCTGGTGGTCCGTCCAGATGTTCCTGACGGCCCCGCCCCCTCGGAGCACGCTGAGGATGGCGGAGCCGCTGGGCTGGCTGTTCCTCTGCGAGGGCGACGGCCCTGCCGACCTCCGCTGGGGAGAGCCTTCTCCTCTGGAAACCTGAGGGGTAGAAACACTGATGGAATCGCAGCACCAGGGATGCATAACTTGCGGCCTTCTCCCGTGTTTACACATTGCCCATCCCACGACCAGGTAGTAAGATTCATAAAGAAAGTGATCAGTAAACACTGATGATTTTCACTGAGTTGAAAAGCACTTCAGCCCTAGCCGGTTTGGCTCAGTGGATAGAGCATCGGCCTGTGGACTAAAGGGTCCCGGGTTCCAGTCAAAGGCACAGGCCGGGGTTGTGGGCTCAATCCCCATGGGGGGTGTGCAGGAGGCAGCTGATCAATAATTCTCTCTCATCATTGATGTTTCTATCTCTCTCTCCCTCTCCCTTCCTCTCTGAAATCGATCTATATATATATAAAAGCCCAGTGACCAGAACGGCGGAATGACCGGTGGCTATGATGTGCACTGCAGCAGCCAACCAGCCTGATCCGGGTCCTGATCAGCCCCCCAAACTCGATCGGGGGTGGGGCCAGCTGCCAATCGCCTGCAGCCCCCATTGGGGTGGGCTAGCCTGGACCCCATCTGTGCATGAATTCGTGCACCTGGCCTCTAGTAAAAATATATTATTTTTTAAAAAAGAAAAGTACTTCTGATTTTTGCAAAAGGGGCAGAAAGGCCAGAAACTGGTATTTACTTAGAAATAAGCTAGGCCATTTGCAGACGCCCTCCAAGCTTAATGTTCACAGTCACTCCATGGATTAGCTATGATTGTGCCAGTTTCACAGGAAGGAAATCTAGGCTCATAAGAATCCAATAACTTGCTGAATTCTGCCCTGAACCTGACCAGTTCTGCCTTGGTTTACGGGTTCTAGGCAAAGACTTGGTTGCAGGAATGTAATTTAATCCACTGTTGAGTTAATGAGATTTTTACTTTCTTTCAAAATACATTTAATTAAGTAATATTTCGATGCCTGTGAGGAAGTAAACTACATGTGACATTAATGATGTCTAATCAGAGAACACAATGGGGTCCTTTATGACTTGGAACCTTTCTTGATGGAGCTCGATTGTGCAGACTGGGAGCGGACTGCCCTCTGAGGCCCTCCATAGGCATAAACATCAGCTTCAAAGAGTTCATTTGAAAGGGTGAAGACCCGTTCAAACGAATTAGTACCAGGGACATGTTTTCTGATCCAAACACTGTAGTGATCTATTGGAAATGTCAAATTAGCAAGAAGTTTTCATCACTTGTCAATGAAACTGGGATACACAGTGCCTTGGAATATCTACCTGCCAATATGTCTGTGTGTCTGTTTATCAGGGAGGGAAGGGAAGAGAAAAGCAAGAAGGGCAAGAATAAAATTTCATTCTGAATATTCTTTTCTATAACAAAATTAAATCTAAAAAAAAATGCCCTAGTTCTGAGAGGGAGGCGGTTATAAGGACAAGTCCTCACTTAAACCCATTTCAAAATGTAAGGTAATTGCTCACCCTTGGAACACAGGCTGGGGGGGTGGGGGGTGGGGGAAGGTATGTGAGTACCTATGGAAAGTGCCTGAAGTACACATTGCAAAACAAGAAACGTCAGGGCGCTTGATGTCTTGTGATGTTTCTGGAAAAAAATAAAATAAAACAAACAAACAAACAAATAAATAAATAAATAAATAAATAAAGTGTTTGGGTTTTTTTTTTAAGTTTGTGGATTAAAAATGTATCGCACATATAGGTAAGCACTCCTATTTTATAAGACTTTTAAACTTACTGTTCATAATTAAAGACCAAGAAGCTTCTGGGCCCTTTAGACCTAATTTTCAAAAGACACCTCCCAGTTATCTTGGTTATATGCCCTGGACTATAGCTCAAACAACTACATACATCTGAGTGGTAAGTATCTTCCTTAATCCCTGAGAGCAATGGACCAATTCACCCTAATAAATTCAAAAGCACCCCCCCTCCCCCGCCAATATGTGTTATTTGAAAAAAAATCCACATGGCCTAAGCCCCGAAAATCACTTAAACATAGGACTATGCTTCTGTTAATTTTAAAACAGTTTACTGGTTACAACGGAAACATAGAGCATCTCTCAACAGGGTCACCGTGGCCTGTGCTGAGGAGTGGTGCGCCTGGAAGTCTGGGGCTGGGTTTCCGGATCCTCACAGAGACCCTCTTATGGATGCCTTGATTATGTGCATCTCATCTTTACAAGTTGCTTAATGACAGAAGCATATAAAGTAAAAAGTGATCGAACCCTCTCCACAAACCCCAGCCCACAGAGGTCACCAAACTTAACAGTTTGATGTTCATCTTTCCAGACCCTGCCCATTGCCCCCATCCCACCACAAAGCACAGTTTTTGCTTTTCAGATAAAGGTACAATATGCAGCACTGCATTTCCTGCTAAATATATGTGGACACTCTTGTCAGTCCATGGACACATACTTCCTTCTTTCTGACAGCTGCAGAATATTCCCTGCAACGCACATTTCAATGGATTTTACCAAACTTTGCTCTAAAAATCTTACACACCAATAGTTTCAAAGTGCTTGTTTTTCTATATCATTAGGTCAAGCTCATGGCTTTTCCCTTTTTATCTATCTCACTTAAATGTATGATTTTTTTTCAACTTCAAATTATTCTTTTTTTATTATTATTAATCCTCATCGGAGAATATTTTTCCCACTTATTTTTTATTCTTTATTTTTTAAATTTAAATTATTTATTGTTTAAAGTATTACATGAATCACCTTTTTACCCCATTGACTTCTCCCTGGCTGCTCCCACCCCCAACACATGCCCTCACCCCCCTGCTGTCTATGTCCTTTGGTTGTGCTCATATGCATGCATACAAGTCCTTTGGTTGATCTCTTACTCCCTCACCACCCACCTTCCCTCATAGTTTGGACAGTCTGTTCGATTCTTCTATGTCTCTAGTTCTATTTTTGTTCATCAGTTTATGTTGGTCATTATATTCCACAAATGAGTGAGATCATGTGATATTTAACTTTCTCTGACTGGCTTATTTCACTTAGCATAATGTAGTAAATGTATGACTTTTCTGATTACTAACATGGGTGACCATTTATACATTTTATTGGCAGTTGGTGTTTCTTCTGTGAAACTGCCCAATGATATTGTCTGCCTTTTAAAAAAGGATCCTTTGTCCCTTCTTTTTGATACATAGGATTCCTTTTAGTAATAGGGATATTAATCTTCTTTGGCCTGTTATCTATATTGCAAACATTTTTTGTCATTTGGCTTTACATTTTATAATGGGGCACTATTACTTACAGAAGTTAATCAACTCCATCAATCTGTAATTCATCTGCTGCTTTCATTTTTCTCACCTGGTGCTTTTCGTGTGTGCATGGTTTGACTTACTGGATATCAACAAGAATGCAAAAGGAAGATGTTTCAGGACTTACCACTGGTCTTCAAAACTTTATGTGATCTTGAGGAAGGTTCTGGGAGGAAGAAAAAATAAGGCCAGCATCACTTGCAAAACCAAATCAAGAGGTTTTTTTTCTTTAAAAGTAAATTATTAGTTTCTGAGCAAATTAATTCAGCTCTAGAAATTTTCTATAAAATTTGCCCAAATCCCCGTTGCTTAGAGATACTTAGCAGCAAGACACTCACCCCATCAAAACTAAGGTGAACATTAAGCTGTGTAATTAGGAGTTGCATAACAGAACACCTGCCCTACCAGCTGGTACAGCAATTTCCTTAGCGTCAACTACCACCTATAAGCTGATAACGTTCAGTTTTAACGTTCTTATCCCGGACCCCGTCCCGAGCCTCAGACCTCCAATGCCAGCTGCCAGTCTGACCTTCCCCCAGCGTCCCCACCGACCCAGCAAAACCACAAGTCTCAACCTCAGCGCACCGGTCTCCCCATACCCGCCCCTCTCTCTGTATCTACCTCAGCTGTCACTGACGTTCCCCTCCCAAGCTGCTGACCAGGACGTCATGCTAATCTCTCCTGTTTTCATCCGTCGTCTCGTGGGATCCCACTAATGCTCTACCCCAGTCACTACTGTCTTAATCCAGCCTTCAGCATCTCTCACCCGGACCAGAGGGACAGCTTCCTTCCTGGTCTCCCTGCCTACTTCATTTTCCACATCGAGGCAGAATTCGGTTCTCAAAGGAAATATTTCATTGCTTGATATCCTTCCATAGCTTGCAGGACCGAGTGCAAACCCTCCGCGGGGCCTACTTGCCTTCATGATCAAGCCCCTCTCTGACCTCTAGCCACATCTCCCTCCGTTTCACCTTGCCCACCCCCACCTCCGCCTCCACCTCCACTTCCACACGAACCCCCACCCCCAGCTCCATCCCACGTTCCCGCCAGTGTGAACACTGACCACCAATATCCCCTCTAAGATATGTTGTCTCAGTCTCGGGGCCTCTGCATGTCTATTCCCTCCCACCTGCCTCCTCGGCCCTAGATTCCATCGGGGTACTGGCCCTCCGCTCTCTAAGCCCCCTCTCTCCTTCCTAGAGGTGAACCTCTCCCTCTCCTGGTGTTTAGTCACCTTTTTGGACCCTCCCACTAGACTCTCAACTTCTTGCAAGCAGGAATCATGTGTATTATCTACTAGTATTCTTGCATTTTGGTCCTTAGCACAGATTAGGTAGGTGCTCAATAAATAGTGATTCAAATGAAACAAACAAACAAACAAATGAACAAACACCCGAGGGCTCCCCAAGGTAATACTACCTGGAGTCTGATTCAGCAACTGTGTGTTAAGAGTTTTAAGTTTGAACAATCCTGGTATGTGTCATTTACAGGATACAATTTTTTCACTGGCGACAGCAGACAGGGTTTCGTACCTGTCTGCTATGGCAAGAGGCTATGCAAAGCAAAGCTACTTGGTTAATATGCATGAAAACAGAGAGTTAAGTAGAAAAGAGTTTTAGAACAGAAGCCTGAGAGCCCCATCATCATGCGGCCTCAAATGCACTCAAACTGGCTGTGAGCTCCAAGACCAGGACGGAAATGCCTTTCTGTCCGACCGAAAGAGACTTTCATTGCTAGTCCCCACGCTTATCAACCTTGGATGAAACATCCAAATTACCAGATTTTCTTCTCAGCCGGTAGGGAGTGGAGCAGGTCTTCGCCTGTCCCTCGGGGCTGTAGCAGAAGCCGGGGTAATCTGTAAAGAGAAGGCAGCGACTGTGAGAACCAGGTGCCTGGTGACGGCTCAGAATACGGGAGCCACCTGCTTTGGATTCTCAGCATTTATTCTCTTCCCTCAGGCAGGAGTCCCTTCTTCCATACCTGGTGTTGAATATGTATCTCAGGACTTCGTTTACCTTGGGACTTCCAGGGCATGTTAGCAAGTTAAGTCTGTCTGTCTGTCTCTGTCTCTCTGTCTCTGTCTCTCTCTCTCTCTCTCTCTCTCTCTCTCTCTCCCCCCTCACTTTCTGCTGCCACGATGACCCACAGAGGTCAGAAAATGCCATTAAAATGCTATTCCCAAGGCTGAACTTGTCACCAAGGCCCCTGACAGATGGTGGTGATGGGCCACAGTAGAGGCCATGTCAAGGTAAAACTACCTAGAGAATTTCATGAGGCCTCGGGGCCCCGCATAGTGAAGGATGTCTTGCTCTTCCTGCCCCCGTGGGAGCTGCTCTCCCGTTCAGTGACTCTTTAAAAAATTTTTTTTTTTTATTGATTTCAGAGAGTAAGGGAGAGATAGAAACATCAATGATGACAGACTCATTGATTGGCTGCCTCCTGCACTCCCCACATTGGGGATCGAGCCCACAACCCAGGCATGTACTCTGACCGGGAATCAAAACGTGACCTCCTGGTTCATAGGTCAACGCTCAATCACTGAGCCACACTGACCGGGCAGTTCATTGACTCTTAATACTTGTCTACACTTTGCTCCTTTGAACATCTGTTGAGTACTTTAGATTCTCTTCTCAGAAAAGGAATTATCATTTAATTTCATAGTTTGTCTTTTTACCCCCATCTAAGGGGTACCCAGACTCTGGATCAAGGAAATCTGGTCTAACCCTAAATCACTGTAGCATATTCAATGATCATCGTCATGCTGACACCAGAGGGTAACAATTTAAGGACGGCCCTGTAAACGTGGCCTTCAAATTAGGGTTAATGCTCTTCAACAGCACCTAAAGTGTGAGAGAGTTCTAAGGGTTGTAAAGACCACATGCACTTCTCCAATGTCAGAGGTAAAGTTATATATATGAGGTCATTTGGTCCAATGGACTGGCTTACTCTGTTCACACTCAGCCAAGTCCAAAGTAGGGCAAATAAGGTCATTTTCCTGGGCTGGGCTGCTCTGGCTCAGTCCTGGGCCCAGCAGACAGGCACGTGTTACCAATTTGTGCTTGAAATTATTCTGTGCACCACAAAATCTTAATGGTGCCCAAGAGCAACCCAGATCCTGGGAACAAGTAAGTCATTTTATTGAATGAACTCATCATAATAAGAGCTGACGTCTCCAGATCCCATCTTCCTTCCACTTTCCCCCTAATTCTCACCTGGCCATCCCTGGCCATGCCTTCTCTTCACAGTGCTTTTATTTTTTTTTTTAATATATTTTATTGATTTTTCACAGAGAGGAAGGGAGAGGGATAGAGAGCTAGAAACATCAATGAGAGAGAAACATCGATCAGCTGCCTCCTGCACACTCCCTACTGGGGATGTGCCTGCAACCAAGGTACATGCCCTTGACCGGAATCGAACCTGGGACCCTTAAGTCCGCAGGCCGACGCTCTATCCATTGAGCCAAACCGGTTAGGGCCAGAGTGCTTTTATTAAAAAACAACAAAACCTTAGAGATTCTGAGTGAAATGTGAGGACTTAGGGGTCACAGGGCAGTGAGCCCAGCCTCGCACTGTGGGGATCGCTCCTCAGAATCTGTCAGACCGGAAATAGGGACTTGCAGCCCACTTGTGCAGCCTTGAAGGTGAATTTAGCATTTGCACTTTGGGGGAAA